ATATATATATATATATATATATATGCAGGATGCATAAATTGTTGTCTAAATTACACAAAAATGAAAAAACATTGATATCTCATTTCAACAGATATATTTACCAAAATTACACAAAAATATCTTGAAATACCAAAGAATAAATTTATTCAATAAAATTACCATTGGCTTCAACCACGGCTGCCAATCTCCTGCAACTGTTCTGATCTCTTTGTTTAAGTTGGTGAATGCTGCCATAATCCTTGCCTTCAGTTCATCTTTGGTGTTATAAGGCATTTTGTTGGTCTCTCACTCAACTGGGCCCCACACATAATAAACGGGGTTGCAGTCTGGGGAGTTAGGTGGCCAGATGTAAGGGGTGATGTGGTTGCAGAAATAATCTGACAGCCATGACTATGTTCTCCTGCTTGTGTGGCATGGTACCAAGTCCTGTTGCCAGACATAGGGTCTTCCAGCAGCCATCGTCTTGACCCAGAGCAACACTACCTCCTCATGGCACTTGATGTAGGCTGTATGTTGATTCTGAGATCCTCACCAACATATCCTGGTGTTCTTTTCTTATCAGAATGCTTAGAGTGAGTTTTCTGAGCTGTCGTACCTTCATTAGACTCATCCAACTCTTTCTGAATCCTTTGCGCTGTCCTCAGATTGTCACCCAAACACCCTAAAATGTTCATATTGGAGCTTCCGGCACAAATGCCAAGTTGTACAGCATGCTGTTTCCAAATTTCTGGTGGAGTGAATTGCATCATGGCACTTTTTCTCACAGATGGAGCCCATCTGACCCTAATGTACTGTGCAGTCAACAAAATCAAAAACAACGCACATGCACAAAATTAAAAATATAAAATGACAACAATTTACCCATTGCACCCTCTGTGTGTATGTGTGTGTAATATATTATATATATATATAACAAAGACTTTCTGGTTTCTAGTTGTTGGATCTACTAAATTAATTTATTGCCCCTCATATCCACAATATCCCAACCCATTTTCCTTACACACAGTTTTGTCTTTCATTCCAACCTGAAGAAACCAAACGTAACACACATTAGCAAAATGCATGATTAAAAAGCTTTTCCCCTGTATTCCATTATCTACACATAAATATTATGAAAGAGAAATTTATTTTCCTATAAAATACACTAAACCAAATCTTAAATATATTTGATGAATTTAGGAGAGTAGACCAGATGAAATTTAGTAATTAAAACAACATAGATGAAGTATCTACATTAAATAATTCATGAAATTGTAAGTGTACTTTTTACCTTGGAACATTTAGCAAAGGAATTTGTGGAATCTCCAATACAAATCATGATTGGTGTCTTGCATGTATGGAAACTTAAGAAGAAGAGGGAGAGTTAAAAAAGAATATAAACTGAAACCGAAGAAGGTTGTCTTTTTTTTTTCTCTCTTTCTCTCGGCTGCTGGTGGGTCAAATCAACATTATTTTCTTTGTTTGAGACCAGGCTGAGTAAATTGTTTTCATTCTGTTCTGCTGTAGTTACCTACTACATTTATGATTCTTAGAAAAAAAAAAAAAGAAGGATTTTTTATGTCATCATTTAAATCGCGTGATTAAAGGTCATCTACAATATTTAATCTCAGCAAACAAGATTCTCTACTCACTGAAATTGTAAGAAAAAAAAGAAGTCTATCTAGACTGCAGTTTTGAAGTCATTGTAAAAATAGTAAATTATTTATCTTTGAATTATTCAGATTAATCCTCATTTTTGTGTGTGTTTTTTTTTTTTTTTTTTTTTGCTTCTTTCAATGCATTTTCATCAATTTGGCCTGATAATTATTGAGTGTACTCTAATATTTGCCTGTTTTCTTCTCAACTGTAACATCAATATTTCATACTGACAAAATAAGAAGAATGAGCTTTGGTGTTTAGATCTGTGAATTCATCGAGAAAACAAGAATTCATATTACCAAAACAAAATGACTAAAGAGAGTTTGAGAACTTATTGCAAGCAGTTTGTCAGGCATATCAATTATTGGAAGCTGTGTTAAGTGAAGTTATCATTTATTGAAAGGTATATTGCTCAGCTAGTGCTCATGATATGAATTACTGATTCTGTGCATCTTGATCACTGATAACTTGGGTAAAGTTTGTGGATACATCTGTGTGTTGGCACAGTAGGCTTAATGTATTGCAATGTGTGAATAAGAGAGAAAACGTGTCTGCACTTATTGTAGTGAAGTTGTATTTATTACAGAAGGTATGTTACTACACACTGAGCAAAATATGAAAATAAAGATTACTTGAAAATTAATAACATGATTTATTTACTATAATGTGCAGTTAGCAGAGGTTGCATTAAGCAAAGTTGAGATAAGTGTGAGGAAGTGTGAAATTCATAATTGGTGATTGAGTGATACAATATTAGGTGTCATGATGCAGATGATTTATTTAACATCAGGTGATATTACCATATATGGTGATGAGTACAAAGTAGTTCTGCACTGGAAAATGGCTCCTTGCTCTCTGTGTGGAATTACTGAATTTCTCTATTTGTATTTATAGGGTAAGAGTTGATTGCATCAACTGTTAGAATTGGTGAAAATGGATTGGTCAGAAAAGCTACTTTCAAATTTTTGACTGAACTGTGATTTGATAAAGCTATAATGCTTTCAGGATTCTATTGAAGTTACAAAATTAATTTTGTCATTTCATCTCTTTCCTTCATAATGTATACTGCTACAAACACCTTAATAAAAATTTTATGATAAAAACAACAATGACTAATACTAGTGTAGTGGATATAAATGATATTAATAAGACTGGGTCTCAAAACTGCAAAATTGGTTCTTTATCCAAAGCAACTCTATTAAATGAGTCTAGCATATCATCATTTCAGATAAGTGCTGAAACATCAGAATGCATCTTGTATATAAGAAGAATGCTGTAGTGTGGTAAGTATCCTCCTTCCATCACTCAAAATACCATGGTTCACCTCGTTTGTATATATATATATATATATATATATATATATATATATATAATATATAAATGATCCAGTCATTTAATATTAATGACAAAATAGCATACCTAGAGTAGTGGCACCTTAGTCTTGTTTTAAAAAAGTACTGCTCCTTGGATCTCACACACTTATTGCAGTATCCTACTTTTCAAAACAATATACGAACTCCTCATTCAATATTGTTGTCAGCTATCTTGTCATGTTCTCCTTAACCTTGCATAGGGTCTGACACTGTTTCCCTTTCAAAGGTAATAGCCAGAAGTCACTGGGAGCCATGTAGGAATCTGGGCCTCACAGACTTATGCGATGTAGTGTGAGTGATATTTTTTGAAAAAAAATGCACTCAATGGTGTCTCATTTAATTGTCAGAAGAGTGTTTATGCTCTATTTGATTCGTTGCCAAATTGCATCAAATTTGTGCAACTGGTTCTAGGTATAGTCATAATAATTTAATATTTTTCCAACTGATCTTAGATCACACACAGACATATATTTAGTGTATTGGGGCAGCAGATCATTATTTAAACATATATTGTTAAATATATCAGACAATGAATGTCTATTATGTCTGATCATGAGCCATTCTAAAGTTTGTATCTTTGCTTTAATTTTGGGTGAAAATAAAGACAAAAATTTTCCAGCATTTGGATATTTTTTTATTAAGTTTGTCCTTGATTTAAGCTTCAATAGTGAATATCTTTGTTAAAATGTCTGTATAATCACTCTGAAGATAGCTCATATGAGCCAAAAGCTTAGATCAAGGACCAACTTAATTAAAAAATATCCAAATGTTGGACAATTTTTGGCTTTATTTTCACCCAAAATTAAAGCAAAAGTATGAACTTTAGAACGGCTCATAACATAATAGACATTCATTGTCTGTTATATTTAACAATATTTGTTTAAATATATATATATATGATAAAAATATAGTTTTAAGGTATGGTATATTTACAGGTAAAAGTGCTCAATATCAGGGCTACAGCCTGAGTAAATATGAAAGTGGACACTGAGGTGAACACAGCAAAGACAGTTTCATGCTTGAATGCAATCTTCACGACATCAAGATTATATTCGAGCATGAAACAGACTGTCGCCGTTCGGCGTTAACCTCAGTGTCCACTTATATATCTTCACACACTTCATTAGCTACAGATGAACAGTCAATAGTCATTAATTTTGAGTGAGATGAATTCATGTTTGAGAAAATTTGAATATTCACATTGTATTCAGTAACAAATGCTGAATTGTCACTCAATCACTTTATTTGTACAGTTTGAAATTCTTAGTGTCCAAACTCATCATTAACAATTTTAGGTATTTACTAGCACAAGGTCATGATAGGTGACTAATGAAGATTGATATTGTTACACTAAAAATGCCCTGTGAGACTAGGTGTTTTGTCTATACACAATTTACAACTCCGAAATAGTCTAATTTTGAGAGCCCATTTCTTCCATTGCATCAATATTCTCTTTTATGCATAAAACTTCATACACCTTAAACTTAGAAGTAAAAAAAATTTCCTAAAATTAATTTAATAAAAAAAGGTAACACTTTAGATTTATCGAGTTTAAGTCATCCTTTAAAATGTTTTAAGGAACTCTTGAAAGCATTCGTGTATTATTTTGCTTCTTCTCAATAGGATCAGGGTTAACATGACTGACTAGGAAATAAAAAATAAATTGAATTATCCTTTAACTATCGTGATGGATTTTTAAATTATCCTCTTGAAGTTATCGTTTACCAGTGGATATCTCGGCCTCGAGAAATCTTGTTTACATACAGATGTAAATAAATTTAAAATTCTAATCAGCTTAGTCTTCTCTAATCAACTAAAAGTTGTCATAGCAAACAGCACATACAATTATTGGCATGCCTGCTGAAAGATTTATTATATCTCCGATAATTTTTTTTAATGAATTATTCTTGACTTCTTGTAAAGAAAAGAACATTTCATTTTCTGCTTGTTGGGTTTTTCCTCTTCTTTTAAAAGCTTACCCATTTACGTTCAAGAAGAAGGTGGCTGCTGTTCCTCTTGTTCCTGCTGTTGCCACAAAATTTGCTCGGCCTCCTCTACTTTCTCTCGCAAAACGGGAGCAGAGTCGAGAAGATACAAAATGTCCGATGTGTCCAATTCCAACAGCATGCCAGTGATTTTACCGGCGTTGTTGTTGGTAATTTGCATAACCTGGTCGTACAGCAGATTGTCCAATATTTTTTTTTGTTTTGTGACGGAGAGACTGGCTAGGGTTTTCTTTTGCAAATCATTGTAAGTAGACAATTCGTTTGGCGGCGACACAGGGACTGGTGAATTGCTAGATGACCGTCTCTGTTTCGGATCGGTTGATGAAGGAGAAAACAATTTAATACATGATGAAATTGACCTTCCATCACCGGGATGTCGAGCTAAAACCGAGGAACTAGTTTTAGTTAATTGTTTGCCGGTGTTGGGGTTACTGGGACTTGTTCGATAGTGATCAGCTTCGACGTCGACTTCTTTGGGCTTCGAAGTTTCTTTTTCGCTGGTACAAGCAAAGTTTGTTTTGCGATATTTACTTATGAATTTTGCAATGGCATCAGACTGACTGCTCTCAGTCGGTAGTAAATCCCTTTCTCTTGCAAGAAACTTTTGGCGTTCAGCAGCTGACTGAGCACAACTAACATAAAGCTTCTTTTTGGCTAATATAAAACCGTTCATTTCAGCGATTGCTCTTTCAGCTGCCAACGCATTCTTAAAACAAACAAAACCAAACCCCTTGGAAATATCAAGTTCGTCTTTCATCACCTTTGCATTCACAATGTCACCAAATTGAACGAATAACTTCTTCAAACCTTCATCGTCCAGTGAAGTACCGAAATTCTTTATAAAAACGTTTCTGGAATTCATTCGATCCTTTTGTGGTACAAATTTCGTGACCAGAACTTTCTGGCCACTGATTTCAGTCCCGTCGATTTTGCTGATAGCATCTAGGGCCGAGTGTTCGTTTTCGTAATGAACAAATCCGTAACCTTTGGAGCCGTTCTCGTCTGCAGCAACTTTACAAGACAAGATTTTTCCAAAGACCGCAAAAATGTGATACAATTCCTTGCTGCCAATATTGAGGTTAAGATTCTTCACAAAAATATTACCTTTTCCTGTCCTTCGCAAAAAAGGATCACGTTGAGCCCACATCAAACGCATGGGACGGTTATGAAGAGGATCAAAATTCAGAAGGGTCATTGCTTTATCAGCATCGGCTGCTTCGTGAAAATTAACGTACCCATATCCTAGAGACTTTTTAGTTTTGTTATGTCGGCATATTCTCACTGACTGGATCCTCCCGGCTGTACTAAATTTTGCACAAAGATCAGATTCTGTCACATCTGGGGCAAGATCTCCGACGTATAAAGACTTTTCAGTTGTTATCATGATTTTACCAATTTCGTCTATCTTCAAGAGTTATCGTTTTTGTTTGGGTTCAAGAGTTTGGCTGTAAAATATGCGTGTATATAGTTATATGTATATCAGAATGATTCGGTGTGGAGACGTTAAAAACAAAAAGTTTTGGGCAAACAATTCGAGTAAAACGGATTTTTCAAAAAACAAACCAACCTGTAATGGTAAGCGTTCATTGAACTTCGCGTGACGCTCAATTTAAACTTGTTCTCTTAACTTAATACAATGGCGAGAGTTGATCACGAGCAAGAATTTGAATATTAAAAATGCAGATTTTGTCTGCTATAAGAAATTGAAATGTTTTGTACAATTATGCGTAGAATTCTTTTTAATGTCAGGAATAGAGAATGTTCCAGTTGAAAAAAAATAGTTACCCACTTCGAATACAATTCTATTAAAACCCTACAGACTCCTAGAAAAGTCGATTTTTCCCTCCGCAAATTTTAAATATTAAACTCTGTGGCTTGAGTGATTACATGGATATTATTTTTTGAGAGTCTTAGATTGATAGATGAATCAAAATTATCATGGCATTTATTGAAGCCCAACTTGTTTAAAAATATTAATTCTACTCAGAGTGATTAGGCATCGTGGAAATTCCGCAGATATTGCCAAATTTTTATTTTGATGGCTTTGATAATTCATTACCTGCGAAATATGTCTAGAATAATTAAACATTTTTGACAAAACGACCTATTTTAATTAAAAGATAAATATAGAATAAAACTATACCTTTTCAACTTCAAAATGATAATAATCAACTTCAAAATGGACTTATTTTCAGGTAAAAAAAATTAATCAACTCCAAAATGGATCAATCAACTTCAAAATGGATTAATCATCTTCAAATTGGAAAACAACTTCAAAATGAGAAATAATCAACTTCAAATTGAGAATTAATATAATACTAATAAATTTAATATTTATTCTTTTATATTTACTTAAAAGGGATATAAAAAATATATAAGCATTCCTAAGAAATTTATTTAAAAGATTACATCATCTAAGTTAATTTACAGAGGGAAGTAATCTCTGTATTCCAGATACGAAGTTAATGCAAGTCTCAGGGGAAATATTAATTGCCTCGGAGATCATCGCTTCTAACTTGCTGAGGGGTAATTCTTTAGTAGTTAAAGATCCCTGGCCATCACCTCTTAAAATCCCAACAATTGAGTCTGCCATACTTCTTTTTACGTCAGCTTTAATGACTGACCAAACCTTTTCAATGGGATTTAACATCGGACTATAGGGGGCAAGTCTGAAAATTTGGTGTTGCCTAAATTCATCCTCCTCCACAACTTCAATTGAAGTAAGGCAAGGAGCGTTATCAATAACTAAGACAACTCCACTTTCATAAATTTCATTTGCCTTTCTAAGGCAGGTTCGGATATCACAGACGACCAGGGAGAAGCGGGAGTTCCCGAAATTACAATGGGGTTCCGCAGACTGATCGGAGGCATGAGACTGCCCTCGTTTAGGGGCGACCCAACAGAGCTGCAGGAATGGATACTGTCGATCCAAAAGAAACAAGTCGTGTATGACTTGTCGGACCAGGAGATGGTCCTACTGGCATACGAAGCAGCGGCCGGTCCAGTGTCCAAATACGTCGGAGGGCTATATAGGGAGAACCCTTCCCTAACTTGGACAGAGTCCTGGTCCGACAGTACGCCAGTGAGCGCACTGCCACTGAGGCAGTTAGGAATTTGTTCAGACTCCGGCAGGGAGATAAGGAAGCCATGGAGGATCTGTGAGAAAGAATAGCGGGCTAAGCGGCACTGGCTTTCCCGGAGTTGGCGACCCGAAACAGTGGTCCGATACAGGTCCTGTTAGCCGACGTATATATGGGTGCGTTGAGCGATAGGGAGCTGCGAGGTGACGTCCTGAAGGAAGGACCGAGCACCCTGGCCGCGGCCATTGAAGCGACTCGCAACAGTGAACGACTTTGGGACAGAATAAGGGGCAGTGTAGCCAGGGACCCCAGGGGGATCAAGAGAATGAAAAGGAAGGAGCAGGTTCGGGCACGGGACCCGGAAGAAGAAGTAGAGGAAAATTGGGGAATTGGAGGCAGATCCGAATAAACGAGAATGGGACTTGCGGTATGGATTCTATAAATCTACGCCAGGCCGGTATGGGCTAGTGTGCTGGACGTGTAAATACGCTGGGCACAGGTGAATACGGTGGTGTACGGCGACAGGGGACCGTAAATTAGGCATTAAGCGAACTAACGCGCTGTTACCACTCTCCAGGAAAGCAAAGAGCCCGGGAAACACCGCTGGGTCACCCGTGAAGGAGTAGGAGGCAGGGTGACCCCAGTCCGAGCAAGACCTCTGAGATGTTGGACGTGTGTAGTGGTTGGTCATTTTTCGGCCGATTGTCAGCGGAGAAGATGCTAGCATTGTTGTGGGGGCGCAGGCCACATGAGTTGAACCTGCCCCCACAGAGGAAGGAATCCCTCAAGACGAGGCGAATAGGAAAGATGGAAGGGAGGCCTGAGTGTACCATTTGCTGAAGGAGGTGCCGGATCTCACCTGCAATGTCTTGCTGGGAGGCAGGAAGGTTAGGGCCCTGGTTGATACTGGAGCATCAGTATCACTGGTTAGTTCGAGGACCTACAGACAGTTAGGGAGATGGGGAAAGTTGAGGCCAGTAGATTTATCCATAAGCCAGGCCGATAGCAGTAGGGTGAGGATAGAGGGCATGACATGGCTGCTGTTTCAATTAGCAAGGACTAGAGGTATTATGAAAGTGTATATGGCACCTGACTTGTGGGGCGAGTTTATTCTGGGGAGTGACTGGCTTAAACAGCACAAGGCCCAGATCCGTTTCGACCCAGCCACCCTGACCTTGAACGGGGTAGAGATACCGCTAGGAGAAGACAATTATGAGCAGCTACCTGTAGTAGCCCAGGCAGATATAGAGTTGTCCCCTAGAACCACTGTATCTGGGGAAGGCGAAATTATAGTATAGGGAGCCCTGAATGACGGCTTGTATCAGGTAACCCCTACGGACGGGTATGATAATAATGAGGGAGAAGTGACAGTATGCAGTTCATTAGTGAAAGGATCAAGGACCGTTCCCCTGCTTCTGACTAATTCGGCTAATAAAACCGTTAGAATAAAGCGAGGAGAAGAGTTAGCACCGGCTTCCCCGTAAGGGAAGTTGAACAGGTGAGGATAAGAAACGAAGACAGGTCTCGGAACAAGACAGGGATCAGCGAATTAAGGGACGATGACATAACAGTCCATGAATGTTATAGAAGAGAATTAAGGGGTTTGCTAAGTAGAAACCGGGAGGTAATCGCAATGACAGATAAGGAGCGAGGACAGGCAGAGACAGTGAAGATGAGGATAGACACCGATGACACCTATCAAGTTAAGGCCATAAAGAACCCCAATCCACAAAAGGAAATTAGTAGAGGAGACAGTGAATGAGATGATGGACTCGGGGATAATTGAGAGATTCAAATCTCCCTGGAGCTTCCCTATCGTGATAGTTGAAAAGAAAGATGGAGGGCACAGGTTTTGTGTGGATTTTCGCCAGCTGAACGCGATTACAAAACCGTTAGCAATGCCTCTCCCCCTGATTGATGACATTTTGGCTCTTCTAGGGAAATCTAAGTGTTTTTCCACCTTGGATTTGAGATCGGGTTATTGGCAGGTGGCCCTGAACAAGGAGGACCAAGAAAAGACCGCGTTCACCTGTCACATGGGTCTTTTCAATTTTAGGGTTATGCCGTTTGGGTTGGCAAATGCCCCGGGTGTGTCTAGTCAGCTCATGTCCATATAGTGTTGAATGGCATGGAGACGTTTGCCATGGCATATCTAGATGATATCATGGTATTTTCAAAATCACCCTAGGAGCATTTTGAACACCTGCAGCGGGTGTTCAACCGCCTAAGGAGGCATGGCTCGAAGCTGTCAAAATGTCAATTTTTAAGAGAGGAGACAAAATACCTAGGATTCGTGATAAATAAGGACGGGATAAAGACCGACCTAGATAAGGTAGAGATAATAAGGGCCATGCCTGCGCCGAAAACTGTAAGGGGGATTAGGGGTTTTATAGAAGCCATAGGATATTATAGGAGGTTCATACCCGCATTTAGTCGGTTGGCGGGTCCTCTGATAGCCCTGACGAAGAAATACGCCAGGTTTAGGTGGACGGAGGATTGCCAGCGTGCATTTGAGGCTTTAAAGGACCAGCTGACTGCTGTGCCCTTGTTAAGCGTACCCAGACTTAGGTAAGCCCATGGTGCTGTACACTGATGCTAGTGATAGATGCATCGGAACAGTACTCACACAACCATGCCCTGATAAGGATGGTCCCGTGCCGGGGGTGCCTGAAGAGGTACCAATCTATTTCCTTTCTCATCGGCTTTCCGAGACCCAACAAAGATGGCCGGAGATCGAGAAGGAGGCGTTCACCATCCTGTACGCTGTGCAGAAGGATTATTATTTGAGCGGGGCAGTATTTACCATTAAGACAGACCACCAGCCCCTCAAATATCTGCTAGAGGCAGAATGGACGAACAAAAAGATCCAACAATGGGCGCTGAAGCTAAGTGGGTACAACTGTAAAATAGAGTACCTAGCCGGGAGGGATAACACCTGTGCTGATTTGCTATCGAGGATACCGAAACATTTGGAAACGGAGTCCATCAAGTTAGAGTCAGGTGTGAACGATAAGGCCTTCCAGATCAATGTAATTAACTCACATGGAGAAAAGAGACCTAATTGGGAAGATCAGGAGGCGGGTGAAACAGAGACCATTACGGACCCCCACTGGATAGATATCGTTAGGCAAAGTCAAGGGGATAGTGACATAACAGCTATTAGGTCCAGGGTAAAGGCAGGAAATACCTCCAAATATGTATTGCAGGGTGATGTGTTGTATTACCTATCAGGAAAAGATGAGGAGGTAAGCTTGAAGATGGTGATACCCGAAAAGATCAGTGCCATAGAAAGTTAGTACACATGGGGATTGACAAGACGTATGGGTTGATAATGAGGAATTACTATTGGCACAAGTTGTTTAATGATGTTGTGGATTATGTAAAAAAATGTGTAACGTGCCAAGTGCAGTGTAGAGGAAGTAAGGCTGCACCGGTTTTAGAGACAGATATTCCCCACTACCCATTTCAGAAAATGAGTTTAGACATTTCAGGCCCTTATGGGCCAACTGATAGAGGGAATTGTTACATATTAAGTTTTGTGGATTGGCAGACAGGTTGGCCTGAAGCATTCGCCATACCTAATAAGAAGGCGCGAACGGTGTTAGAGATAATACTTGGCGAGATATTTCCCAGGTATGGGGCTCCCGAACAGTTGGTTACGGATAACGGTTCGGAAAATGTGAATCAGGTTATGAGGGTGACGTTGGGAGAACTAAATATACAACACATGACCACCTCCCCATACCATCCCTAGAGTAACGCTAAGGTGGAGAGATTCCATAAGACTCTTGCTGATGTGCTGGCTAAATTAGCAGAACATAATAAGGAGAATTGGGATCTGTTTTTAGCCCAAGCCTTAGCAGCTGTGAGATTCTCGGTGAACGAAACGACCAAGTTTTCCCCTTACTATTTGGTATATGACCGGGATGTGGTCTTACCCATAGATAACCTATTAAGGCCTAGGAGGAAATACTTAGGAGAGGACCATCATAGGAGAATTTTAGAGCAGCAGCACAAAATCTTTACACAGGTGAGGATAAGAATTCGAAGAGCGCAGAAAAACGAAATGATAGGATAAATAAGAATAGAGAAGAGGTTTCCTTCCAGATAGGTGACCCGGTGTATTATAAAATAAAAAGACGGTAAACTGGACCAGAGGTGGAGCCCCTACTATAGAATAGTAGAACAGACAGGCCCAGTGTCCTTTGTGATATGGGATCAACTGACCGGGAAAGTGAAAAGAGTGCACGCAAATGACATAAAGTTAGCTGAGATAGAAGACTGGGAAGGGGGCGGCATAAAGACAAAACAAAAAAAAACTGAGGAGGACCACACTGGTGGAACCAGAACTACTAGGAAGTGATAGTGAAGCTAGCGAGGAGGTCGAAATTATTCCCACTGCCCTTCAAAGATCGAGCGATTGGGATCCTGACGACGAGATTCCGTTAGCTCAATTACGTAATCAATGGACTGAACAAGCGCCTGATAATGAGGAGGAGCTGCCAACGAAGCTGCGATTGCGAGGAGCAACACCTTTTGAGTCGGCCGATTAAATAGAAAATCTGTGCAGAAGTTGTGTTGAACGAGTGTCAGTCTGGGGTCGATTGTGCAGTTGTCGTCGGCGTTACGCAGGCCGCGTAGAAGGGCTCCTGCGCGGACTCGGCGCTGGCGGTGGTGTGGGTTGGTCCTAGATGTGTCACTCCACAATGCAGCCGTCTGACGAAAAAAAAAAATAAATAAATAAATAAATAAATAGATAATTATGTAAGATAGACTGTTCTCTCCGTCTCTTTCAGATATGGACGAGAGAAGGCCCTGAGCGCTGGTGATGCTGATTTTAGCTGCTAATGCCTGGGAGCACAGTGAAAATATCGTGTTTAAGAAGACGAGCGATGTGATCATAACTAAATTAAAGTGGTTAATCACGTTAGTGATAGATTTACAGCCGTATGAATTGCTACTAGCCCAGTTAAGGGTCGAGGTAGATAAATTAGAGACAGCCAGGACAAAAGTCACCGGAGAGTATTCACGGGTGTTGTACTCCTTAACTCAGGAGTCCCTAATACTTGAGAGGCAATGGAAGGAGATGAGGGATTATTTAAAGGGAATTAAGTTGTTGATAACTAGACAAAAAAGGGCAGTATTACCTATAATAGGTAAGGCATTAGGTGTGTTATTTGGCACGGTGTCTGAAGATGAGATAAGGTTGATCAAGAGGAAGCTGACGCAGGTAGAGCAGAGACAGCAATCGATGGCCCAGGTAGTTAAGGAAAGAGTATCGATACTTAATGTTAATAGGTTGAAACTAAGAACAGAGAGAGTATTAATTGGTTAATTGCCTACCTACATGATCTTAGGCAATAGCTGGCGAATGTAACCACAATTATAACAACTGGGTACCAGGAACTGGAGGGTTTCTTGCTAAAGCATCTCCAGTTGTTAACTATAGTGAATAGGGTGTGCCAAACCAGTCATACGTTAACAGTGCTGCTAGAACATGTGAGAGCCCATTTGGATATGCTGTCTATGGGACGCCTATCCCCGAGTATAATAACCCCAGAACGACTAAGGGAGGTACTGCTGGAAATACAGTCCAAATTCCCCCATCATCTTGGTTTGCTGGCGGACCCCACTCAACAATTATGGAAGTATTATAGTGCCTTGGGATGTGTTACCCTGTTGGAGAGAAGTAAATTGCTAGTACTAGTGTCAGTTCCCCTATTAAACCGAGACAGCACTTTCGAAGTTTACCAGGTATTAAATCTGCCTCTTCCTTACCCAAAACCAACCCCAAGGTTAGAGGCAGTGGCTAGGTACAAAGTATAGACAGAATTCCTCGCTCTAAACATAGCCAGGACAAAATTTATGTTGCTGACAAGGGAAGAAGCACAGAGGTGCGAGAATAATGCTCTGAGCACTTGAAAGTCCCATTTATGTAACAGGTAGCCATGAATTGTGTGTGATAGAATTATTTAGAAAAAATAAGAAAGGATTCAGAGACCATTACCAGGTAGAGATACTGACTGATGTAATGCTACCCGCAGCTGTTAGCATTGCAGACGGGATCTGGGCAGTGGCCACTCAGGGTGTAATGGAGCTCTCTAAGGTCTGCGAGAATGAGGTGACAACGACAATGAGAGTTATTCCCCCCTTGACGATTTTAGCCTTATCCCTTGGCTGTGGTGCACACGGGCTGACCCTATCTTTATCCCCTACTATCAAGCAGAAGAGAGATTCGAAGGGATTGAGGCGTTGTTGAAATTGGTAGGATCAAATGAAACTGGATGGGCTGAATTATGGGATCCAATTACGAAAGAGTTCCCTCAGTTTTCGTTGGGGAGGATGCCGGGGTTGCTGAAACCTGTTGATAAGATTGATTTCGGGCGACTGAAGTTAGAATTAACTAGGCTAAGTAAGCAAGACTCGGACTGGAGAGAGAAAATGGTTGCCATAGTAACCTGGCCAACCGTTGTGGTGATTATATTAATTACAGGTATGGTTTCTTTGAGTTGGTGGTGGTGGAAAAAGAGACAAGAATGTCGAGTGTGGAAGTTGAACTGGCAGAAAGTGGAAGTGGAACGTACTGGGAACCCAATTGGTGCGCATTATCTCGACCGAGATGCACTAGATCCTGTAGCCGATGTGGGAGAACAGCCCACAGCTGCTGTGAGAGAACTGGAACCCGTAAAAAGTCTAACGAGGCCTGTTGTGAAGACCCGAACCGGTCGTAAGACAAGGCAGTGAAAAAAGAATATGTAAGGGAATAACTAAGTAAAATATGTAGCTGAAAAAAAACAAAAAGTGTTAATTTTGAAAAAAAATGAGTGTTTAATTTTGAAAAAAAAATGAGTGTTTAATTTTGAAAAAAAAAAAACAATAAGTGTTAATCTTGAAAAAAAATGAGTGTTTAATTTTAAAAAACAATGAGTGTTTAAGTTTGAAAAATTGTGTAGATACAATACATATGTAGACGAATGAAGAGACAAATGAGTTGGTGAAGATATGGGAGTATCCCAAGTAGTGAACTGGATGGAAATACCAATAGTTGTGAGATCAATGAAAACATATATTCTCATAGTAACCAATTTTTTTTTTTTTTTGTTTTACATGTAAAAATCTGAACAATGAACCTTATTCAGTGAAAGCACGACAATGTGCTTTATAAAGACGCTCTGAAAGGAACAGAAAAGGACTCGGAACACTATATCTCGACTTCGTATTTTCTTGTCTGTTCTTGTTCATGTTTTTATTTCTAGAATTGTTCACCGTTGAAGTCAGACCGGATTGCCGGAGGACCATGAACTTCCAGGAAGGACGGCTGAACGACTCTGTGTCTATTATCGTCTTATTTTTGGTATGACATCTCATGTGTCATTTACTAGTAAATGACAGGTGGGTAAGGGAGGAATTGTGACATAGAGAGAGAGAGAGACACCCCCCCCCACCCCGAGGTGCATTTAGTAATCAACAGTGCTAAAGAATTAGGATGAAGGTGCTAATTATTTGGGTAGAAGGGATTCCGGAGTAATTCCAGAAATAAGTTTTTTTTTCTCTTGTTTTTTTAATCTGAAAAATTGTTTCTGAGGTTGAGTTATTAGTTAATTAAATGTAATATTTCCAGAGTGATTAAGAGACGGATTCGTTAAAGTAAAGTTTGTGATAAATGGCGAATTGGACTTTTGGGTGGTCTGAATGGCGGAATTCAACCAGACGGGATAAGTGGTTTTGGCAAAACTTAAGTAAACGTTGTCTGCGGAAGACCCAGCAGGAGGTCCGAATCCGATTTTAGTATCTCTTGAAAACTGGGTTCCAGCTGAGTTTCGGGGACCGGAAAAGCTTGCATGGTGGTCAAAGGCGATTTGCATATTAAAATTCGGGGGCGGTGCCTAAAGATGGTTTAGCTTCGCCTCTCTCTATATAAGCTTCCCGCACGCTTGAGTTAGTCAGATCGCAGAACCGGGGAAGAGACGGCTTGTTGGAATTTGCTGGTCCAGTCGGTTGGTCGTCACGCGCCTAAGAGGTCCGATCCGAACCTAAAAATAGAAACAGACCCTGTATGAAACCAGTTAATTTTGCCAACAAAGCTGAGAAACCAAACTGCTATAATTACACGCTCCGACGAAGATCCCCGAATTACTTCCCTTAGATCAGCCGAAATTATTTAGGCAGAAATTTTCCTACTCTCTCTGTCACTTCCGACCCCAAACGAGTGAACCTCTTTACAACATTTTGTACTGTGTAAATTCTTCGGTAGTGACATAAAAACAGTGGCCTAAAAAGGGTTCTTTGTACAGGAACCGAAAGAGTTGCTTATTTTTTTCTTTTTCATGTCTTTGCGGCTACGACAAGAAACTTTTTTTTTTGCATGAATAGTGATTACCTTTCAGCCTAATACCCAGCCATTTCCTCCCCTTCCCACCGGACCGTTCTGGGGAGACCGATAGACTGCTGTTCGGATCAAGAATTCACAATGTGGCGAATAGTGGTGGTTCCTTCAGTTCACCGGGGGGGATCAGGGGATTCCTTTTCGGCCAGAACCACCGGGGAGACAGGACATAGCTGCAACAGGCAGGGTTTATTATGTTAGAATCCATATAAAGAATTGGCACACTTTGGGACTGAAATTCTAATAAAGCTACTGCGTAATCCTTACGTTTCGCCTTATTGACATTATTATTGGCAGCTTCTGGTTCATAATGAACCGCTTTTAAAGTAAAGGCCATGGAGTCCAAGTGCTTTCTTATGCATTCTTTCGTCACACAAACCTCATACTTTTCGACCAACTTATTTACAATGTCTTGAAGAGTGACCCACGGAGAGTTTTCAATTAATTCGGCCATAAAATTTTTATGCTCTTGCGTAATTTTATATTTTCTTGCTCCCCACCTAGAGTCACTCTTATCAGCACCCTGGTCTAACCAACGGTACGCTGTTGGCAGAGGCGCACCAATTATTCTTGCCAGGTCTTTCCAATTTCCTGCTGCGGCATGTGCAGCTAAAATCTGGGCTTTTTTTTTCGCCAGCCACAGTTTTCTTGAGGTGGGTCCTCTTTGGAGCTGTTGCTAGTTCTTCTTCAGCTTCTTTTGTAGAGGTTTCTCCAGCATCATCATCAATCATCATTTTTGCCCATACGGGACTTTCTCCTACTTTTACTGTAGGCTCACCCAATACTTTCTTGGCCTCTAACTTGTTTGTATTTTGGTTTTTTTCTTTATCTATATAATGAAGACGAACAGTCAATTTCCTTACTCATGGGGTAAATTAATTGAAAAAATAATTTTCAATTAAACCAAAAAAAAAATATCTCAATTTGAAGTTGTTCATTCCAATTTGAAGTTGTTTATTCTTATTTTGAAGTTGATTGTTTTTAGGTTTTTGACATTTTCTCAATTTGAAGTTGATTAATCCATTTTGAAGTTGATTGTTCCATTTTGAAGTTGATTGTTTCAATTTGAAGTTGATTAATTTTTTTACTTGAAAATAAGTCCATTTTGAAGTTGATTATTATCATTTTGAAATTGAAAAGGTATAGAACGACAAATCCAATCCTTCCTATAGCTTCTGTATGCAAATGAGGGCTGCATTTCTTTAGGTTGAACTTATCATTTAGGCAATATATTTTGTCTACATTAAATCGTCACTTTAAATTTCTGTTTACAAAAGCCTTGTTTAAAATATTATTTTAATTATTTAATTAATGAAAATAAAAATCTATGACCAAACTACGTTGAAAATGAATGTCTATTTTACTAGTCGAATTTGTTGGGAATTGAACCTGTAATATGCATAAATGATGGGCATATATTTACTCTTAACTCTCAATAATTTATCATCATTTAAATATAAAATAATGCTGTAAATATAATATATTGTCTCCAATTTAGTAAGTTAAACACTAGAAA